CCAGACGGCTGGCGGTTCAAATCCACCAGCCACTCCTCGGAAGGAAGGTTGGGCAATCCTACTTCCGTAGTGATACTGCCTCGGAAACCCAAGGAGAGGTCGCTATGAGTCGGGGCCGACTCGACGGCACATAACAACAACAACAACAATGCTACATTAAAGAATAATGAAGACTACACGAATCATCTCACAACATGGATGAATCTGGAGGACATTATGCTGAATGAAATAAGTCAATCGCAGAAGAACAAACATTGTATGAGCCCATTACTGTAAAAAGTCAAGGAAGAGTTTGCTTAGGGAAAGGAACTCACTTTGTAGGTTACTGGGGATGGTAGGGAAGAGGAGGTAAAATTCCAGACTAGTTGGGGGCCACATGCTGCGCTGGGTAAGGGAGGGATGGTATGGAAAGAGTCTGTGACCAGCATGATAACATTGGGGAAAGGGAGGACACTGAGATGTGCACATAAGATACAGACGACAGAGGCTCATACCAGTATATGCACAATACTGCATTACCACTAACACCAAATACCAGGCTACAGATAAATACAGATAAAAGACAACTGAGAAGATCAGATGAGGGTCGGCAAACAGGAATATACCCTAGACCAATGATAGATTTAGCTGAGGATAATCTTTCATAGATACTAGTGATACAAATTAACCACAATCATTCTGCTGTGTAACACATTCTGTTACAGATGCAACAGAAGACAGAGTTGGAGTAATCCCTCAGAGAGAGTCAAGTACCTTGGGAGAACCACCAGACCTTCTGACTCAGGACCATAGTACTGGGGGACACCAGGCTCAATTGGCACAACATAACACATAAAAATCTGTTCTACAACCTACTGTGGTAAGTAGCAAATGGGGTCTTAAAAGCATTTGAGCAGCCATCTAAGATGCAGCTAATGGTCTCCTCTCATCTGAAGTGAAGAAAATCAAGAGCATTGAGAAACAATTAGCCCAAGGATACGATGGATCTCGAGTCCAGAAAAACTAGATGGTGCCCAGCTACCAATACAACCACTCAGTAAGAGATCAAAACTGGAGATCCTGGATAGAGTGGGAGGAAAAACGTGGAACTAAATTCAAAACCACAATAACGACCAGAAGTACTGGTTGGATGGAGTCTGGTGGGAACCCCAAGATTATGGCCCTGGATACACTTCAGGCCTGGGATAGGAGTCACTCTCAAGGACTGGCTCTCAGCCCAATAGTAGGAAGACTTACATGGAGGACACCCAACCCAGGGCAATGCACCCACCTATTCTATAGAGATACACCCTTTGGAGCAATCGGCCTTGGGGCACCAGAGGGGCAGCATTCACATGGAGGGAAAGCTGGACAGACAGGAAGACACAACTAAGAAGGGTGTGTGTGGGGGTCACAGGGAAGGGAGGGGAGGAGAATGGGTTAGGGTTGGGGCTGGTAATCAGGGAGTGAAACCAAATGTACATGAACTGCTGAATGTTAAACAAATTCTGCTGTGTAAATTTGCACCCAAAGCACAATAAAAAAATTTTTTTTTGGCTTCAAAACTATTTTTACTTAAAACTAGAAGGATCGGGATCAGCCAGTATTGAAGCTAATTTGTACTTTGTGCCTACACTAGCTGCAAGGCCTGGGGAAGGCCATCCAGGATATGCTGCTGATTATTGTGGAAAAGCCAGCCCCTGATACAGAGTGGTACACAGTGCAGAGAACTGTGTGCCTCATTAGGGAGCCATTCCAGTTGAGGAGGGGCCTCTTCAGACCAGCTGGTGCTTTCTGACAAGGGCCCATAGGAAGAACACAGTGACCTTCCAGTAAATACCCAAAGACAAATACACACACGTGCAGGTCTGAAATTGTCCCATGAAACACCATTCACACCTACTACATGTGATGCAACCTTACATACTTTGTTTCCAAATATCCTAAATTCATTCAAAAACCCTCTCTTGAGAAACTGTGATCTACATATAATTCCTCTCCTCCCCTTTCTTTTTAAAGCTGAGGACATATATGAGGCATCAGAGAAAGCCAGTCAGCAAAATGGCTGCCGGGTAGGATGGCTGCCAGAGGGAGGTACGTTCATATCTGGACTCCACCTTTCACTTCAGTTTCTGAGTCTGTAAGAATGGGATAACAGCAGTGTGAAGATTAGACAAAATGACCCCTGTAATGCATATGGTACAAACCAGTTGCCAGCAGACTCCAATTTACGGTGACCCCCATGTGTCTCGGAGTAAAACTGTGCTCCTCAGGTTTTTCAGTGGCTGATTTTTTAGAAATAAATCTCCAAGTCTCTCCACCATAAAACCTTTTGGTAGGTTGTTGTTGTTGTTATGTGCCGTCGAGTGGGACCCGACTCATAGCGACTCCTTGGGTTTCCGAGGGGGTATCACTACCCAAGTAGATTGCCCAAGCTTCCTTCCGAGCAGTGGCTGGTGGGTTTGAACCTGCAACCTTCTGGCTAGCAGTCAAGTGCCTTAGGCACTACGCTACCAGAGCTCCTCTTTTGGTAGGTAGTTGGGCGCATTAATCATTTGCACCACCCAGGGACTCAGGCACATAACTTGTTACTGTTACTTGCCCTCCAGTCGGACCGACTCACAGCGACCCCTCCTTGCGTTTCCGAGGCGGTATCACTACGGAAGTAGATTGCCCAATTTTCCTTCCGAGGAGTGGCTGGTGGGTTTGAACCGCCAACCTAGGCACTTAACTAGCGCCCGACAAATTTCAGCCCTTGTTACTAGAATAGGAACTCTGGTGGCGTAGTGCCTAAGGCATTTGACTGCTAACCCAGAAGGCTGGCGGTTCAAACCCACCAGCCACTCCTCGGAAGGAAGGTGAGCAAAGGAAGGTGAGCAATCTACTTCCGTAGAGATACTGCCTCGGAAACTCAAGGAGGGGTCGCCGAGTCTGATCGACTGGATGAGTGAGGTTTTTTGCGGGGGAGGGGGGTGGTGGTGGAGGTACTAAATGGCCCTGAAAGAGAAAATGTCTGGCCAAAGGTCACAAGGTCAATGCGAGAAAAATGAAGGTTTTGTTTAGCTTAAGAATTATAGGTGAGATTTCTCTTGTTTGTCAAAATTCTTTTAATGGTAATGACTTAATGCGGTTGGTGAACTAGCGATCCTTGTCCCCGGAGGAGAGCTGCTCAGTGCACCAGACCCCGAGTGCATGCACCTCCTGCATACCCACCCACGCCGCCGTGCCCTGGGCAGGCTGTGGGCTGAGCTCGAGCGCACCCCATTCTGCACCCAGCCACTCTCCCACGTGCGATCCTCGCCTGGGCAAGGGCTAGACTTTCGGACAGAGAGGTCTGCGGAGGGAAAGCAGTGCAGCTACCCAGCATTCAAATGGGAGGGTGGGGGGAGCGGTGGCTGCGCGGCTCTCTACCTTGGAAGAGGGCGCAGCACTGGCCGTCCGCGGTGCTCCAGAGCCGGGCCGTGCCGTCCTCGCTGCCAGTCAACAGACGTTCCCCGTCCGGGCTCAGGCTGAGCCAGTTGATGCCGCCCCGGTGGTCAGCGCAGACCTTCAGGGCCGACCCGCCACCTCCCATGCCGCCCGCCAACCAGCTAACCTGGGGCGCCCCAATGTCCGCGCAGCAGGTCCTGGCGGCGACCCTGGCGGCGGGCAGCCATAGCCCGCACAGGGCTTAGCGCGCGGCGGGGGGCGGCGCGGACGCAGCCTTCTCCCCCGCCGGGAAACAGCAGCCGGCGCCCACCTGAGCAGGCCTCCCAGCCAGCGCAGCGCGCTCCCAGTCTGCGGGTCCGCTCCTCCTCCGAGCCCACTGTCCGCCGGCCCCGCCCCTCTCCGGGCAGCGCCCCCTCTAGGCCCTGGCCCTTGCCCTTCCCCCGCCGCCCCTTCTCCGCGCCGCAGGGCAGGGGAAGGTGGAGAGGGGGTAGGGAAGTCAGCCCCTCGGCCCAGCCCCCAGGGTCCCGGGAGGAGAACACCAACAAGTGAACCACACTTGAGCCGGCGGGACACTGGTTCAGCCCGGCGCCCAGCCCTAGGCACCCAGCTGGAGGCCCTGAGGGGGCTCAGGGCGGCCCCTCCGGCGTCCCAGGGCGCGGCCTCGTCAGACGAATTCTGCCTCCAGCGGGGAATCACGCGCACACCCAGAGTGATCAGGAAGTCCTGCGGTGGTGGCCCGCGGCGGCGGCGGGGCAGGGGGAGAGGGGCTAGGGCATCGTGCAAGTCAGGCAGAGGGCTAGTCTCAGTGGTTTCCCGAGGCCCACGCTCCTCTTAGCATGCCTCCACCCCCTGTAGGTACCCGCAGGAACCAATAGCGGAGCTCCTGAGCCCTCCCGGGGAGCGTCGCTGGTTCCTGTTAGGACAGTTGGGGCGTCTGGCCGCTACCTGCCACCACTCCACAGATTCTATAGGTAGCCGGATTCCCCAAATCGCCAGCCCTGCTGACAGGCAAACAGCCGACTGTCTTTGTGGCTGAAGTAGTGACTCAGGAGACCCAGCTCTCATCATTACTACCAGACCTTCCTTATGACACTGGTTGGTCACATCCAGATTCCAAAAGAAACCCTTAATGGTGTCCACAGAGACCTGGCCTGCCCACGTGGCCGACTTGTTGTTGTTGTTGTTGTTAAGTGCCGTCGAGTCGGCCCGACTCATAGTGACCCCTCCTTGGGTTTCCGAGGCAGTATCACTACGGAAGTAGGATTGCCCAACCTTCCTTCCGAGGAGTGGCTAGTGGGTTTGAACCGCCAGCCTTCTGGTTAGCAGTCAAGTGCTTTAGCCACTATGCTACCAGAGCTCCTACGTGGCCGACTAGGGAAACCTATTCTTTAATGGAAAACTGGTAAATCAGCTTGCCCCTAAGCTTAAGGAGCTTGGGCATTATTCTGCAAGCAATGGGGGCAAGGAGGCTGCTATTAGGGCTGAAAGTGGGACATTGTGATGGGGTTTGAGATCTTTGCCACTGGTGGCAATGTGGAGGTGGGTTGAAAGAAGGCAGGAGACCAGCTGTGGTGACTTAATGGGAGAGAAGAAGGTACAAGTGCTGTGGTACTCAGGAGGTAGACTTCAGAGAGTGAGTCCTGCAGTGACAGGAGTGAGGACTGAAGATGCCTCCACTGGGTTGAGACACTGGGTAGATGGTGAAGGTTTATACTGTTTAGGGAGGTGCCCGTACAGGTCTTCTCTGAGCTCATTTTAGGACCTCTGGACTTGAAAAGGTACTGGGACGTCCAGGAGTGAGGACTATCTGGTGGCTATGGGGTTTGGGTCATCAGTACGCCCTGGAGCTGAGGGGAAGTTTCAGTAATTCTGAGGAGTGAGCAATCAAAGACAGTGTTTATACAGAAGAAAACTCAGAGGAGGCTGAAGGTTGTAGGCAGAGGAGTAAGAGGTAGCCAGGGGTGAGGTATTTAAGGAAGTGGGGATGGCCCACTGGGTTAAAGGCAGGATGGATGTGAACATGTTCAGGAGATTGACTACTAGTTTGGGAGACAAGACAAACACAGGGAGAAACATATAAGTAATTTTCAAAGAGGAAAAGGGATAGTAATGATTCAGTGGTAGAATTCTCCCATGCAGGAGATCTGGGTTTGATTCCAGGCCAGTGAACCTCATGTGCAGCCACCATCTGTCATGGATTGAACTGTGCTCTCCCAAAATATGTGTCAACTTGCCTGAGCCATGATTCTCAGTGGTTTGGCAGTTATATAATAATGTAATCTGACAGTTACATGATGATGAAATCATCTCTCATGATGTGATCCAATGTAATCAATCAGGGAGACTAGGATGGGATGCATCACTCTTACTCAGGTCACAGGCCTGATCCAAAGCAAGAAGAGTTTAGCTGGGGTGAAGTCCAACTCACCTTTTATCTTACAAAAGATAAAAGGAGAGAGAAGCAAGCAATGAAGGAAGGACCTGACTACCACCAAGAAAGGAGCTGGGACTAAGCATCTCCTTTGGCCCTGAGATCCACGTGCTGAGAACCTCTTCTAGACCCAGTGGAAAATTGGTGCCAAGATGCATGGACATCTCCAAGGAACACTGGGCCCACAGATGTTGAGAGGAGACAAGGACATTCTCTCAGAGCCTACAGAGAGGGAAAGCCTTCCCTAAAGCTGGTGCCGAATTTGGACTTCTAGCCTCCTAAACTGTGAGAGAATAAATTTCTGTTTGTTAAAGTCATCTACTTGTGGTATTTCTGTTATAGCAACACTTGATAACTAAGAATTTGGTACCAGGAGTGGGGTGCTGCTCTAACAGATACCTAAAATGTGGAAGCAGTTTTGGAATTGGATAACGAGTAGAGGCTATAAGAGTTTTAAAGTGTCTAATAGTAAAAGGACCAATCACTAATGCCAAAGATTACCTTCTGTAATCTGAAATTGATCAAACATGCAGTCAAGATGCATTGATAATTACTGGTGATTGAAATGTGAAAGTTGCAAATAAAGAACAAGGATCAGTAGTTGGAAAATATAGCCATGGTGATAGAAAGATACTTGAGATTGCATGGAAAAATTTTGCAAGAGCAACATTTTATTCATTGCAAATAGCTTTTTCAGTAAAATGAATAGTGACTATACACATAGACCACACCAGATGGGATACACAGGAATCAAATTGATTACATCTGTGAAAAGGGATGATGGAGAAGCTCAATATCATCAGTCAGAACAAGGCCAGAAGCTATCTGTGGAACAGACCATCAGTTGCTGATATATAAGTTCAAATTGAAGCCGAGGAAAATTAAAACAAGTCCATGAGAGCCAAACTATGACCTTGAATATATGTCACCTGAATTTAGAGACCATTTCAAGAATAGATGTGATGCACTGAACACTAGTGAACAAAGACCAGACAAGTTGTGGGATGGCATCAAGAATATTATATATGAATAAAGTAAACAGTCACTTAAAAAAAAGAGAGAAAACAGCAAAATGCTTATTAGAAGAGACTCTGAAACTTGCTCTTGAACAGAGAGTAACTAAAGGGAATAGAAGTAATGATGATGCAAAACAGCTGAACAGAAAATTTCAAAATGCAGCTCAAGAAGACAAAGTAAAGTATTATAATGAATTGTGCAATGACCTGGAGTTAGAAAAACGAAAGGGAAGAACACAATTGGCATTTCTCCAGCTGAAAAAACTGAAGGAAGAATACAAGCCTCAAGTTGCAATAATGAAGCATTCTATGGGAAAAATATTGAACAACACAGGAGGTATCAAAAGAAGCTGGAAGGGATGTACAAAGTCACTCTACCAAAAAGAACTAGTTGCATTAAAAATTGGATCAACACACTATGGTACATACATACAGTGTTAAAGAACAATGATGAATCTGAGAAACATCGCACAACATGGATGCACCTACAGGACATTGTACTAAATTAGTCAATCACAAAAGGACAAATATTGTATAAGACCACTATTGTAAAAAGTCAAGAAAGGTGTTTCACAGAGAAATACTCTTTAATTGTTACCAGGGGTAACCAGGGGAGGGGAAGGAAGGGTAATCCACTAACCAGTATTTAGAATAAAGTGGGAGAAATAACAGGCACCAAGCAAGTCCAAAATAAATAAATAATGAATGAATGAATAAAGTTTTACAAAGCAAAGATGCCACTTTGAAGACTAAAGTGTACCTGACCCAAGCCATGGTATTTGCAGTCTTCTTACATGCATGTAAAAGCTGGACAGTGAATAAGGAAGACTAAAAAGAATTGATGCCTTCACATTATGGTGTTGTTCAAGAATATTGAAAAGTCTCTCAGAAGACCAAACAAATCTATCTTGGGAAAAATACAGCCAGAATACTCTTTAGAAATGAGGATGGTGAGACTTTGTCTCATGTACTTTGGACATGTTATCAGGTGGGACCAGTCCCTGGAGAAGGACATTGTGCTTGGTAAAGCAGAGGATCAGTGAAAAAGAGGAAGACCCTTAATGAGATACATTGACACAGTGGCTGCAACAATGGGTTCAAACACAGCAATGTCTGTGAGAATGGCACAGGCTCATGCAGTGTTTTCTTTTGTACATTGTCACTATGAGTTGGAACTGACTCATCAGCCCTAACAACAGCAATCGTAAAAGCCTAGATCGCCTTAAAAAGATTGTTGGTGGAATTATGGACATCAAAGGCAGTTCTGGTGAGAGCTCAGAAGGAGGTGAGGAGAGCTGTAATGCTAGAGACAACACAGCCAGCAAGAAGTAGCAGCAGAGACAGTGGCAGCAGCAGAAGGAGACTGGTGCGAGATGATGAAGGAGCTGACCCGCAGAAGGAAGGAGCTTATTTTCTTCAGACAAGAGGCTTCCTGGTGGAAGCCAGGTGGAGTGGGGTGCCTCCAGGCACTTGCCAATGGAGGTAGGCTTGTTGACCCACAGAGCTGAGCTGAAAGCTGAGCACTTTTAGGCCAAGGGTAATGGCTGAGTGAGGTGTCTTTGGTCACTTATCAGTGGAGTTAAAGAGCTCTGTAACATTTGCCTGAGCAGGGCAGAGGCCAGGCTGGCCCAAGAGGCTCAAGAGACCAATGGGTCAAAAGGCCATGAAACCAGGAAACAGAAGGTGAAGAGATAAGGA